GGGGGGGGGGGGGGGGGGGGGGGGGGGGGGGGGGGGGGGGGAGGGGCGTAACGGCGGCCAAACGTCAAGAACAGGAGTAGGTGGTGGCAACTGCTTGTGCTCTATTCCTCTATGCTGGTCTAATGCACCTCAAGCAGGGCAGGGTACGTACTACAGTTGTAGGGAGTGCATACCATCCCAACTTCTCCCAATGTCTGGTTCGTCGTCCAGCGAGTGTCCCTGTCCTTGCCACACACGACTGGAACAACAGCGCTTGAATCAAACTTACCTGCCACCATCACCAGACGTGACCCTGCTGTAGCGCACGCTCATGTCCCTGCTGCTCTCGGCTCTCCAAGACCCAGGCGTATCGCGGTTCGCGTTGGTGATTCCTTCACCGCCTGCGCGGATTAACGGTTCACACAAGATCGAACATCGGACGTTGCCGGATGCAACCTTCGTCGCTTTCGTCCCTGTGGTTGTTATAGATATTCATCTGTGATCACAGCCGTCTGGTTGTGCAATTAAAGTCATGTGCGATGTCCGGGTAAGGCCGAGAGGAAGGTCGTCGAGGAGGTGAAAGAGAGCATACGGTTGTCGTGAAGACGTTGTTGTTAAGCGAAGGGACATGCTACCCATTAGCGTCGAGGAAGGAGCTTAGGAGCGCCGTGGGGTGCGAAGGGAGGAGGCTGAATCTCACCCACGGTGGCCTGCTGCATCATCGCAAGCGCGAACCGTGGGTGGAACGCCAGGGGTCTACCAAACACTAGCTTGGTGTCTCGTCTAAACAACTTCCGCTTTGCCGGCGGTTGCGTGTGAGATACATGTAGATTGCCGAAAACACGTCCAGACACTCAACGTTCTGTCCGAGATATCCGCAGCATACAGCCTCCCAGATATGTCCAGTTTTATAAGAACACGAAGAGTGAACCCCGCACGAACGACAGGAGACAAGATGCGACACGCTCGAGACCAAGGTGCGGCCGATGCTGAAGTGTCGAACAACGTAAAGCCAGCACTTACCCGATCTCAAAACGGATGTACCCACAGGTATATATAATCAGTAAGCATCCACTGATGCTCGGCTTGCACCGCCCCATCGAGCATACCTCGCGCAGTGCTGTTGTCGTTTTTCGTAGCTTTCTCTTCGTCGTGGCAGAAGCTCTCCTCGTCGCTCCCGGCTGCCGATGAGGAAGATCCAAGCGGGATGAAGTGGGCTCGGGACTGGTTCAAGGTCTTGAACAACTTGGCTCTTCCCTTGGACTCTTGGGCCACCGAGGGCATCTACTGCGACTCAAAACGACGACTTCAGTGCACACGAAGCCAAGCTCTGCAGCCGAAGGTAAGGGTGGGAGAGAGAGATATGAAGCCAGACGAGTAGCAGGTGCACGTTTGGCCTACTGGCCTACAGCTGTGCTGTACTTCTGGAGCGGATAAGACCGGGGGTGACATAATGATATTAAAGGGGTACATACCTCGATATTATGTTCTTGATCGCGTACCTCCTTCTCCGTGATTCTCCGTTGTGGTCTTTCGTCGCGTGCAAGCTGTGTGAGCTCTCCTCTTCACACCAGCTCTCCCTCTTCGCCCAAATTTAGCCAGGATGCATCAAGAAGTGGCCGGATTAGGTGAGAGGGTCGTGTGCGAGCTTGACATTGCCTCTGTCAGAGACGTTTCAGCTTGTTTAGACACACCTATCTTACAGCGTAGTCTCGTTTTTTGTTTTGATCCTCGGAGAGCCTGGAAAAAAACTGCAAAAAACTGCATAGCTGGCACCACAGGCTCTACGGGCTTGAAGTATGATGCAAGGATGAACTACGACCGAGAGAGAAAGAGGGGACTTCATCATTCCTATGGCGGCGTCTCCCAGAGACCTGCACATTGGTTTGGAGCAAAGCGTCGCAACATGGTGTTGATCGTATTTTGAAGTGTTGTTTTAGTTACAATCGTCTAGCGAGCACTTGCTATCTAATCTAGCTGTATCTACAGTTTTTTACGTCAATGCATGTAGTGGTCTCCTTATGATAGTCTAAACGGACTACAACATCATCGTTGCCCCTCATGTGTACAACTAACCTCCAGCGGGTCCCGACTTGCCGACATCATCCCATGTTCTTTGGTTCACCGACCTGTGGCTCTTATTGTGATGCCGACTGCCGAACCGGTCTCTCCGCCATGCGTTTGTACTCAGAACAATTCCCCGGCAGCGGTTCCTTGGTGTCCAATTTATTGACCAGTTTTTTTTGTCAATTGTTTCCCTCTTCTCTTTTGCCAACACCAACGAGACAGCGCCCATTGGTATGCACTTCACACCATTACGAATGTGTGTTGTTTGTGCTGATTGCCCGGTAGCAGCGAGGGTTCGGGGTATGCTTAATAGGCAGCAGAGTTTTTCGTTTCTTCCAACAGTGTGAGGGCCTGTCGTCGAAAATCACGTTGCGCCAGGAAATCGGCGCGTTCAAAGTGCTCACCGCCTGTGGTTTTACGTAGTCTCGAGCAGACAGCATTCTTTCTGTGCCTTTTCTGTAATTTTCTTTGAAAATGAACTTGTTGGTGCTGTTGTATGGCGTTGCGTTGGAAGTCTACAGGCTGCATGAGTTACTGAATGTGATGTGGATGCGATGACTATTTTCCCACCACACCCCTATTAGCCAACCAAGTGGAAAATATTCGTTTGACTGCATTACACTCGACCTTTCAAGGTGGACGATGGGGCGGATGAGTGCTCCACCAGATGGAAAAATTCTGTTTAGGCAAGCAAGCTCAATCATACAGGGGGGTTTCGTATCCCTATCCCTAACCCTAACCTCAACCCGTACGAGTGACGTGACGAAGTGGCTTCGTGTAGTGACGGGGTGGCATCGGCGGCAGCGATGTCGGAAGTGGCGATCGATCATAACGGTGTCTTAGCCTTGTAGCCGTCGGTGGGGTCGCACCGCGGGTTTTTCGCGTAAAGCGCTTCCCCAACAACACGCGAGACTGTCCCTTTTTAATCCCTCCCGACACAGCACGCTTCTCCCCCCATTGGCGCCGTACCTATACCGCCCTAACAAAAAACGCGTTTACCAATACTGCTGTACTCCAGTGTACTCGTGGGGCAGAGGGGAGGACGGACAGCTAGGCCTGGGAGACACAAACGACCAGGACAGGCCGGTGTTGGTTGATGCGCTCAAGTCCAGGGGTGTTGTCCAGGTCGCCTGCGGGAGCGGGCACACCGTCGTCCTAAGCGGTGAGTGTCGTTGGTTGTTCAGACACGGAGGGGTGGGGTGGGCGTGGTGGGGGG